GCCCAGAGCAGTAAAGAGAGCAACTCCATGACAATTCTACAAGTCAGATTGTCCCAGAGAGCTCCCTTCAAAGAGGGACCTTTACATTCAACTGGATTCATTCCCTGTTAGTCAGCATTGAATATTGTTGTTTCTTCATCTTTCCGTTTTGGTTTCAGTCATTCGTTACTCACTCCATACTCCACTTCTCATCCAAGTTACCCAGACCTTAGAGAAATTGGGGACACAAAGGATTGTGCAAGAAATATTCATCTTTCAGCAAATTATACATGCAATCTTACACATGATGCCTCTGCATACCCCAAACAATGACTCACCCAGTTTGCAACAACTGTATCATTTCAAGTTGTGAAGTTTAAATTAAAAGTACTGATCATCTTGGATATTTTTTCACTTCATCCAGTTTAATTAATCATCTTCAATTTAATTGTTCAAGAAAGAAACTTTTCTTAAACTTCTGATTCTGAAGCTAATTTTGTAAGACATATATATTCCACACCATCTCATGAAACTTTTATTAAACAATGAAACTGAAAAAGATGGAACGCATGCATAATTTGATTGTGTCTCTGAGAATCCTAAGATTAGAGACCAATATAATCAGAATGAATTTACCTCAAATATATAATATGCCTTATTTTCTACTTCCTCCCTTGTATGTTCTTAGGTCCCATGATCCTGCTTTCAACTGGTTATAGTGCTCTTTAGTTTGGTTAGTTAGGAATGAGGTCTTTGTGTCTGTGGTGTCTGATAACAAGCCAGTATAAGTAAGTTAAGACAATAGATAATTAAGCGATCACATTTCAATGCATTATGCAAATATTAACAGGGTATCAATTGCACATGTTATTCTCCTCGGTCATTTTAATCAAAAACTCAGCTGATTTTACAAGATTTTTTCATTTAGTTTCTTTATGTTACTATTTTATACCATACAACATCAAGATTGATTTTGAGTAATTTATCATATTTTTAAATGGTTTTCATGATTATCATTTTAACAGCATGAGGAAATATTAAATCGCCATTTTGTAAATCTTCCCTGGGCATGATTGTCACAGCTTCATCATATTTTCAAATGTTCAATTATGACTGTTGAGTTACATCTGTCTTAATCCCATAATAGTCTCATATTTTTTTAATACAATTAGGAATGTTGTTATATATTACTTATACTTACCATATTTTTGTTAGCTAGCTTCTTCTTTATTGACTGAATTGGACTCAAGTATACCCAATTTTGTCCGTTTCCCTCCAAATTTTAGTACTTTTGTGATGAAAGAATCAAATTTAGCCTGTGAATATGTAATATGAAAACGATTGGCTGTTTATATGATGCCGCGTCTATATACTTAGTCAACTGCAAAATCAATAGGTACCCAGGTTAACTAAACATTTTCTTTTTCTTCTGGTTAAATCTATTCTGTTCTTAAGTAAATCTATAATTTTTGTGTTCTTTAGTGTCTGGGAGAAATAAGTACACATTTAGAGTATTCAGTACATTATGTAAATATTTCTACACTTTTTTGAAAAGTGACAGATGTTGGATCTATTACTGTACTAACATTAGTGAATACTCAAACCCATGTTTTAAAAAAGTAGTTTCAAAATGTTTGAAAATCCTAAAAAATTAATGACTGAATGTGAATTATTATACTTAAGTCAATATGTTGCCAAATTGTGAACCTGAATTTTTACAGTTGCATACATACTTTTTGATGCATTCTTGTCCTAGTTTCATCTTGCTCTGATTTACATCATTCTGTCTTTGGGTCCCTGATTCTCATTTATACCAGCAGGTCTTGTGGGAAAACATGTTTGATGCGTCCTACTTTCATTATCTCATTGTGTGCATAGCCTTAACTTGAAGCATGCTTTGTTTTATTTTATCAGTTTGTATACCAGTCAAATTTTTCTTATCAAATATGCTGATAAAACTTACACGTTTAATATTGATAACACCTTTTTTAAAACATACTTTTTTGAGTCACTCCTCTTTACGAATCTCATTCCACAGTTCACATATTTTCTAATACTTTCAATTAAAGCCATTTTACCTTCAGTCTTTACAGATGGCTGAATTTTTTTAAATTCTAAGTGGAGAAGCAAATGGGAGCATAAGTTATTTGTGTATTTGAGTAATAACCCACTCATTCTATATGTCTGTCTTTCTGAATGCCCTTTATTCATTCTGACTCTGCCTCTCCCCTCAAAAATTGGCCAAAGCGAACTAGGATTACTTAGCCATTATTTTTAATTTTGTGCCTATTTTTAAATAATTCGGTCAAAACTTTTCAGATCTGCCCCTGTAATTCAACTTTTAAACAGTATATTTTAGGCAATGTAACTTATTGTACTTGAACTGTTGTTTTAATACACAACTACTTAATGGTAGTGAATAACTACCTGAGAGTTGGCCATGGTAGCTACAGTAACTTTAGTTTTAATTTCAAAAAGGTCTGTAAATGTATCCCAATATTTGTTCTCACTCTTTAATGCAATTATTTCGTACATTGTGTTGTCATGGATATTGATAATACCTCCAATCTAAGCTGTTGTAATTGAAACCTTCACAGTTATTTACATATAATGATTAAATCATTATGATAATAGGTCTGAGGCTGAGAATAAATTAAGCAAAGAGAAGTCTGATAGGGAATTGTATTACATATTGTTAGTTTACACCCTATGCAGACAGAGCCTGTGGGAAATATTGGGTGCGGAGCAAATGAGCGGAGGGTGCGGAGCTAACGGTCATTTTTGAATTTAAATTTGGGATATTTCTGAAACTAAGCCGTTTTGGGACTTCAAATATACCAAGATATGTGTATTTGACACCAAATATCAATACAATTGTGAAAATAGTAGCGCAATTCATTCTATAGCGACGCAGTGTGCCTTAAACCTTTCCCAGACCTATATATTTTGAAATTATCCTTTTAATACTGAGTCCCCAGCATTCATAAAAAATGGTGTTCAAGGTACACTAACTATACAAATTATTTTTGCATCTTGGAAGCCAGGCAGTATCTGTGTGATTTTATAAAAATTCGGAATGTTTTTCAGATATGAGCCCCCTCTAAATATTGGGTGCGGAGCAGCTCCATAAACGTAGCTCCGCACCCAATATTTAGAGGGGGCTCATATCTGAAGAACATTTCCGAATTTTTATAAAATCACACAGATACTGCCTGGCTTCCAAGATGCAAAAATAATTTGCATGGGTAGTGTATCTTGAACACCATTTTTTATGAATGCTGGGGACACAGTATTAAAAGGATAGTCTCAAAATATATAGGTCTGGGAAATGTTTAAGGCATACTGCGTCGCTATTAAATGAATTGCACTACTATTTTCACAATTTTATTGGTATTTGGTGTCAAATACACATATCTTGGTATATTTGAAGTCCCAAAACGGCTTAGTTTCAGAAATATTCCAATTTTAAATTCAAAAATGACCGTTAGCTCCGCACCCTCCGCTCATTTGCGCCGCACCCAATATTTCCCACAGGCTCTGTCTGCATAGGGTGGTTTAGAGTTCATTGTATGGATTAAACATAAGGTGTTGTAGTATAATGACTTGACAGCAGTTGAATACAATGCTAAAATCAAACCATGGGCTTTCAATTAGCTAGTTAAAAGCCCATGATCAAACTAACAAACAAAAACGAAGAAAAGTAAAATTTCTCACTGGGTAAAAATAGGTGGCAAAATCTCGTGAAAAATGATGTACCTTGTCATGTTAGGCAAAAAATTATTTTACGTTTTTCAAAATTTTTATGTGGAAACACATGTTGAACAAAATAACAAAATCTTTTCAATTGTTTTGCAATTATGAATCATTGATTTTCTCCAATATATGAAATGAAGGAAATTGACCTACTTTACAAAAATATAGGTCACTAAATTTTGTTCTTTCTTAATATATCTCTTTCTGGAAAACTGAATATTGTAGATGTATGGAATGAGTTTATATATTTGAATTATATACTGAGTCCACTTAGGAAGCCAGTACAATTTCTGTACTTACCGACCTGCCTAAATAGACATTTGTAGACATATATGATATGTTGCCCTAAGCAGGGCCAAAGCCAGCATCTCAATTTAGGTGAGGTTAATTTGAATTGATGAGGCAAATTTGTCTATGTTGAGGCAAATTTGACTAAGGGATAAATAATATTATTATACATCTTCATTTTCACAGATTCGATTAAAAAATGTCTGATTTTAATATTTTTAAGCCAATGCTTTGCTTGTCCACTTATAGGGCAGTACATAATATATCAGTAACATTACTCTGTGCATATCCTCGGATAGGGACATATCCAAACATGTTAACTCGATCAGATGAAGGTCTCATGTAGCACCCTTATACTGTACATTGTATATTGAAATGCTACAACATGTTTTTGCAAGTGCTTGACTGATAATACATACTCGAGACTACAATTTTTTTCATATGACCAAGCCAGTGTACATGTATTATGTACATATCTTCTCTTGAGATAAGTTCTAATGGTAGAAATAACTTATGACAATGAATGCAATCTTAATATCTGTCTTACCAAAAGTTTGTGAATCTAATATTATAACCCTTTCTTCTTTTGGTGGAGTTGGCATTTTCTAGTTTATCATGTCAATTGAATATAATTAACAATTGTACTGTATATCAAGGTTTAAATGTTTTTTATGTCACTACCACAAGTGGTGACATTATATTATCGTTTTTTTTTTGCGGATGGTGTTTGATGGTTGGTCTTCAGGTATTGGTGTTGGGTGTTTTGCAGTCAGTGTCTGTAACAAATGGCAGATTGTGTTATTTTGCATTTTAATGCCTTGTAAATCAAATGGAATGAATATTGATATATTTGAAGAACAATTTGAGGAAAATATCATAGTGCTCTTAAGTGAGTTTACCCTTATCGTGTTATGTCGATTTAGAAATATTCAATAAATACAACTCTAATATATTTGTCTCTCCTTAATGTGTGTCTTTAGGTTCAATCAGGCGCCTACAAGAGAAGGAAAAGAGGGGCAATGTTTCCACAAGTATCCAGAGTCAGCAGGACAGAAAGATGGTCCTCACATCAGAGATATCCAGGATGAAGAAGAAACTACTCAAGATCAACAATCAGAAGTCCAAGCTTCAAAGGCATATAAGGAAAAAGAAATTAGTGAGTTTGTTTTGTTTTTATGTCACCACCAGAAGTGGTGACATATTGTTATAGTCTCCAACTTATTTTGTGGAGTGTATTCAGGTTGCTGTACGATGTCCATAACAGCTTCTGTAACAAATGATGGTCAGTATATGTCCCAAACGGTAGGTGGTGACATTTTGCATTTTAATGCCTTGTATTTGTTTGTTAGGTTGAAAGGGATGCATCTGAACATTTTAACTAAGCTTTTTGAGGAACTTGAGATTCTTTCAAGTGAATATATGAAGATCTTCCATGAGTGCAATTTTAAAGTCATATTAGGTCAAACTGGTTGTACCAAAGCTTGATAAAATTATCTTGTTCCATTATATACCATACAAATGTAGAGGATTTAATCCAACTTAGCCCAATGTTTAAAAATGATACAGGGTACGGTTAAGTTGCAAATGGTGCGGGTATTCTCTATCTTTGTCCATTGGGCTTTTCTGGTAATAATACATTGCAAACTGCTCGATGAATCTATACAATGTATAGTAGAACACTTAGAATATGTGTAAAATCTAGTATACATTCAGAACTATGGAAATAAACAAACGTCCTCCATTTGCAACTTCCCTGTAGCCTGTACTTCTTTTAAAGGAATACAGGATACAGCATGGGGGTATAGTAGTGTGAAAGTTCGAGACTACAAATCCAAATCAATATTTTGGTTTGAAAGTCAGGATATACATTCCTCTGAAGGTTCCAAACTGTGTGAGTATAGGACCGTGGGTCCTTTCATTAAAGTAAAAAACTGATATCCTCAACCTATTTTCTAGGAAACCAGTGCTGCAAGTCTAACTGGCTCTAACAAAGAAGTGTTAGAGAGACTTGATCGGGACTCTCTTCTTAATGTCCAACTCAGAAAGCTGGAAAACATACAATATGTGCAAAGAATGATAGGTATGCATCTTTCACCATGTAATGGTTAATTTTTGTCATTAATACGTAAGTCCTGTCACTGCATTACACTGGCAAGCAAAATGTGGCGTTATGTGAGTAAAACAGCCAGAATTAAAATGAAACAAATGGATTGGACATATTGATTAAAAAGATGACACATGTGAAAAGATGGCCGAATTCTTGAAATGAATTTAAACAAACACACTCGTTTTTTGTTTAGGCCATGTTATTGTTTACCGTTTGCATTAGTTTGACTTACCTTCTTGAAGTTAAAAAGAAATCTCTGAACTCACCATCAAAATTGGAACTTGAGTGAATGTACGTGTTTTGGGGAAAATCTAATGTTGGTATCCTATCATGCAAAAATGACAGAGAGGTTTATTCAAATTGTGATTGGTCAATTAGCATCCGCAATATAAGCTCACCGCACACTTGTCACTTTAACAGCGTTGCTTGATTTATGTAAACTTTCAAAATTAGTACCATTTGTACTGTGTTCTGAACTGTGTCATTTTACATTACAATCCTGTAAATTTTAGAATGCTGGCAAAGTGGAATTCAGAAAGATATCAATGAAATAGTTCCCCATGTATATTATATGAACATATCTTCAGTTGAAACAATATTTATTTGATTGGGTTAAATGTCATTTTACTTGTGTATTTCACATTACTTGTACATATACTTACTTCGTTGAAATAATATCGATTTGATATGGTTAAAAGATGTCATAGTAGTAGTTTCACTCATATATTATATGACTATGTCTTTATTTGAAACAATTATATTTGATAGTGTTAAAAGATGTCTCCCTCAATAAATTGTCAAGTAAGTCTTGTAAAATATTCTATTTTGTCATGGGCTTTCAACTAGTGAAAGCCCATGATTTCCTGTAGAGAATTCAGGAAAAGAAGAAGCTCATTTAATTTGTATTTTCCTTGTAGTGTCCTACATGTACATGTATTTTCTATTTGTTTTTATTCTTAGGTCCCACATTTAGGCAACCCTCTCCAAATAAATTGTGTGTATGTCTTGACACAAGCTACAAAGGTCGATACTTTGCTCCAATTTACATTGACTTCACAGAGGCATCTGACTCTGGATGGAGGATCACGAACCATACATTGCCATTGTATGTACCTATAGCTAAATTAGCCCCAGATAACCTGGTGGAACAAAAAGATGTCTTCTTACAAGAGGTTCAGAGACATATTTTTGGATATCATGTTAGGAATAGCGAATCTGAACTCATTAAGGTATAAACCTAGCTTTAAAACTTAACCAAAGTACTAGCAAAACAGAGTTTTCTAACTTTCCCCGAGAAAGTTCAGTGATAATATCAGGATTTTTACCAATACACCCTTTTCGTATCAAAAAAAGTCTTGCTTCAAAACCCTGGACCCCCTCCCCACTTTTATCTTCACAACAGTCTCGGGGGAGAGGTCCAGGGTCTCGAAGCAAGACTAATCAAAAACAGAAAATGATTCTCAGCTTTTGATATTATCAATATGTAAATTCAGATCATGGTAGTAAGGTATATTTTACAAATTACACATAATTAAGTATTGACCTTAGTGGTACATCATTATTGTATTGTCATTTTATGGTTATGATTCATTTAACCTAGATCACTCTTATACAAATACAAATATCAAGCTGGATGATACTTTAATCAATAATATCTCAGATAAACTGTTCGATTTTATATTAATTAAAATAGTTTATAAATATATATAAAGTTGATTGATTATAACTATCTTCAAAGCACTTCAGAAGTTTTAAGTAGTGTGCTTTGAATTTGATTGTATAGATAATTTTATAATCTTTGGATCATTTTTGCATATTAAGTACATCAGATAAAACAATAAGGCTCAATATTTATTCAATATTTATTGAAGCATTTTGTGTTGATTATTGAATAGCTGATTAACAAACAGTATAACGACCGTAAATGTTTAAACTGTGCTTAAACCATTAAATTGTCTTAAGTAAAAAATTACATTTGTTTTTCAATAAAAAGCATATATTTACGTATATTTGCAATGTCATTAATAACAAATGCATGTTATTGTAATTTTGAAAATTGCTTTAGATATTGTCGAGTTATTTGTATTATACTGCACAATATGTATACCCTGTTGTCAACTATGTGGTGTAAACTAAACAAAATATTTTTATATTTCCAATTATCCTTGTCATTTCTCAATGAATGTTATAATGATAATTATTTGAAAGTATCAATTATTTGTTTAATTCTTAAATTTGTATGATGATCCAGTGACCTCCTCAGCATTAAAGCAAGTCGGCGTAGCACCCAACCAACCTGAGATTTTAAAAATAGGCTTGCACCCACCTGCAAATCCATTTGCATCCATTTAAAAATGAGTAAAATCATGAAAAATGGGCATATTTTTTATCAATTTTGGTCCAATTGTGAAAATGAGAATTTTGCACCCACTTGAGAAAAAACCTGTGGAGAACACTGTGTTCATACTTTCTAAATGCCTTTCTAACACCCAACCACTTACAAAATCAGTTAAATATAAACACATGAGATGGTACCTTAGACCGAGTAATTAAAGAATGGTTTTGCTTTTTTCAGGAGGAACTTGAGCAGGTGTATGGTGTTGCAGTCGCTTTACATCATAGTGCAAGTTATGACCATATTGAGCTAGAGATTCAGTATAAAGCAGACACTAAACCAGTCCGTATAGCCCTGTTTTACAATGACCTCTCACTTCATATCCCTACAAGTGTCAAAGTAAAAGGTAAGCTTATATATGAAATTAAAATATAAATAAGACCAAGCAAGAAAACTGTTCATCCTTTTTACAATTTTACAAATGGAAAAGAAGATGTACCATGATTCAAGTAAGTTATGGGCATCCACAGGCTACGACCACTTTGTATTCATACTTTGAAAAATATCAACATAATTGATCAATGATTATGTTAAGTCAACGTTTATGTTAGCCCCAAAAAATCAAAACTTTGTTTTTTGTCTAAAATTCCATCTTTAAAGCTATCGATACTCAAGAAAAATAAGCATTATTGCAATTTCAATGAAACATCAGAAATTTGATACATAAGTTTAAACACATGAATATGTTTTTCTATAGTGCTAATGGCATAAAGTTTGTTTACTAAATATGTGTTTAAGTGTCAATTCCAAATGATATTCAACATCATGTTGTTTTTATTGTTGTCAATGTGTCTATTACTTTTTATTTAAGTGAACTGGAAAAGTAATAAATTGATAATGTACATCATTACAAGTTTCACCTTTCTTTTCCTCAACAGAGGCTCTCAGTAGTTGTGTATTAACTATTACACCTCTGGGGTTTAAGGTAGAGAAGATGGATTTTTCCCGACTATTGTCTTGTCTTGACCCTTATGAACTTTTTTATTAAACTTGATTGGATTGGAATCTTCTGTTCTCTTTTTGTTTCTGGATAATAACGTTTTGCTATTGTTGTATTTTTATATGCAAGTTAAGAAAAGTGATCTTGTACTACAGCAGTTATTAAGTAAATTAAAACAATCAATTTATTCAATACATTAATAGCATTGAATTCATTATTCTTATCCCACCAACTGAAGTTCAGGAGGATATAGTGAAGCCATCCATCCATTCACTCGTATATTATCTTTAAAAACTCTGAATACTGAATGATAAGATTTCAAACCTTATGCTAATGCTTTGGGACATCTGCTCATGGAGTAATTTCCAAGATGGCTACTGAATTAAAAATGGGCCCTTGTTTTTCAAAAAATGAAAAGGAAAATTTTTGTAACTTACATACCAACAGTGGTGGATGTTTCCAAATGGTTATTATGTCATATAAGAATATGAATTCTGCTCAAGAAGGAATTTATAATATGGCCTCTCAATTTGAAATGGCAGCCATTTTGTAAAAATTGTAATCTTTGATATCCCAAATACTAGTTGTAAGATTTGAGATGTTATATGGCGACGCCTTTTATGGGCATCAGACTCTGCTAAAGGATTTTCAAGATGCCTGCTGAATTAAAAATGGCTACCATTTTGTATAAAAAATTGAATTTTTTTTTATAAATACCAATTTTTGATTAGGCATCTACTCAAGAAGGGATTTCCAAGGTCACTCAATTCAAATGCCCACCATTTTCTAAGAAATTTAATTTTGATAATTCAAATACCAGTTGTAAAATATGGTCAACATTGTAAGGCTGATTTAGATGTCTTGTTTGCTTAAGGACCTCATCTTTAGATGGAGTTTCTAATAGTGTGGATGTCATGTCATGGGTGAAGATTTTGCCAAAAGGGGACAATTGTACTGCCTGGTTATATTTATTTCATATTGAAATGTTCAAAACGATGGATAATTTGAGATATGAAATGTGTTTTTATTGGTTTTGCTACTCAGGGAAGTTGCTTTTTTGTTGTTTTCATGTGTAGTTGTCAATTTATCATAATAGTGAGATTGTGATACATTAATTTTTCATGTCATGAAAAATGATGCTATTACTTCATGAAATCATTTAAATAAATCTCATCAACTCAATATTCTAATAATGAAATAAATCTCAACTTTTTTTATTACTTTTAATAATCGCTAGTAACTATTGTTTTTATGATGCAATTTCAGTGGATAGGTAGTTTGATAAATGATTAAATGGATACTTATTCAAGGCTAACTTTAAATATTTATGTTTTGTCATGCATCTAGCAGATAAGTAGTCAGAATAGTCAGCATATTTTGTACATTACACTTACAAATATTCTGCCTCTCTTGTATACTTTCAATATGCATATGACATTTTTGTACATTCCTTTGTAAATGTAGCAGTTTTAGTTATTTAGTTAGTTTTAGTCAACTTGTCATTACAGTCAACAGTTCATCAGAAACATAGTTGTTCTTTTGAGGACTTATCTATATAAAAATATGTCACCCATATTTTGGATCAAATCTTTTTTGAAACTACAAGTACTTTTATATCTTCCAAATGTAAAAGTCCACTGCTGAAAAAAACGGATATATACTCTGTGGTTGTATTGGCCACGCTACTTTTGGAGATTTTGTAGTGAAGCATCCATATTTTACTTGATGGGAAACAAAGAATTTAAGTCCATCAGACTAATCATTTTGTTACAAATTCTGGTACAAAAACATGTGAAGTTGAACACCTCCATAAATGTAACACTTTTAAAATTGCTATCACCCATTAACATAATGTTAAATGGACCTCTGCAGGTGAAATACCTGCCAAGTGGAAAGGTACAAAAGTTGTTCCACTGGCACTGGTTTTACTGTACTGTTCACCATCTAACCAAGTACCCTTAGTACTTTATATACTCCATGTTTAGATGTAGCCATATCATATTTTGTTTGACTTGAATAAAACATAATATCCACTCTGGTTTGATGTGCATTAATTTGTTAGTATACTGGTGTGATTAACAGTAATTGGAATTAAATGAGCATTGCTATTTGCAAAGAGGATATAAAAATATTGAAAATGTTATTTGAATAAGGACTTCATCATTCACAGTGCATTATGCTACAGATATGGTATGAAAATGTGTTTGATAATACAATTAGTGCTTAATCTATGATCTTATGAAATATGCTTTTATGAGTATGCAGCATTTCATTCTCAATTGACCCCCCCCCCTCTCCAAATACAGTGAGGTTGACTTGACATATACACTGTACATGAATAATCATAAAAGCAAATCTATCATGTCTATATCGTTCTTCACCAGTTCTAGACACATGTTTCATCTCACTAAACATACACTAGAACTAGTTATGTCATACATTTGGTTCAGGTTAATTGCTTCATAAGTAAACTACAAATGAATAATGTCTCAACTTATCATATTGATTCATTAAGATGATTATGTTAACACATAACACAGTGTTTTTTGATGGATTAAGTCATAATCTCTATTGGTTGTAATTATACCATCGAATGAAGTTTGTGTAGGGATTGAGAAGCAATTTATCTGTCTGTCCATCCACAAGCCCACCACCCACCCATCAAAATCCCAATACATGTGATTTGAATTTCAATTTTTGTGCATTAGAAATGATTAAGTACCTTATGTAGTTGTATTTTTCTCAAAAAGACACACTTATACTGCCTTGTTAAGTTGTCATTTCTGTATGACATTTCTAGAGGGGAATGATTTGAGAAAATATGTTTTGTACTGTATGACATTTTAATATGGACTGACTGGAGAAAATATGTTTTGTTCAGTGCAATTTGCTAGTCTTCTTCGATGTTGTCTTTCTAGTTAATATCTAAAGTGTCATATATGCTGTACCTCATAAGCAATTTTGCTTAAATATTTTTAGTTCATACTGATATGATATATACCTTCTACAATCAGTTGACATGACATGGGCATGGGCACAAATCTTCATGTCTGACAATGTCAAATATTGAAAAATATCTCAACTCAAACTAATTATGTGAAGTTCCACAAACATGCATTTTTTGATTATTTAGCATGGACATTATAGCTATTAGCTCTTTAAGTTGAGACCATCATAAGTAATAGCAAGAAGAAAAGAATAACAGCCTTGTTATTAACCTTTTTGTACCTTTTTTGTGATTGATCTCTCATATGAAAATATATATCATCTTCAACAGGGCTCATCTACTGCATACATTACAATATATTTTGTCTGTGCATGTTTTATCTTATGCTGTATTATATTACTCATATCTTCAATTCAGTTTATAGGCATTTACTAGACTCATTTATTGTGTCTCTATATTTTCAGGTTTTCCAACAGTTCCAGTGGAGTTTTTACCATCAAATGTTGAAAAGTTGAAGGACAATCTACTTCAGATTCCACTATCAGAATGCTTCGCATAGAGCAGTGACTGGGACTGGTCTGTAATATGTAATATGCATAGTAGTTTGAACTACTGGGACTTGATCCACGATACTCACACATCATGTAATATACAGAACAGCATAGGCATAGCCAGGGGGTGCTCACCCCAACCCCTCCCAAAAAAGAAAAAAAGCAATTGTGTAAAATTTGTTGAAAAATCATTCACAAATTATACTTTGAAATGCTAATAATGCACCATGTACAATACAAATTTCCCCCGTACCTTCCTTTTTTGGGCTCGCTTCGTTTGCAGATACAAACCCCAAAATGACCACCCCCTTGATAATTGCTGGCTACACCCCTGGAGCAGTTTATTCTGAATTAATGATCCACACTTTAAATACTGGGACAGTGATCAGTTCATCTTATGAGAACAATAAATAAGTCATGTTCTTATATTATGTAGATTTCATTGTAGAAAGTTCAATTTTTTTGCATTACATGAAACAATAAATGTTTTTATTACTAAGATATATGTTGTACATTGCTCATTAACCTTGAGAATTGCAGTTAATGTTGAATTGCTCTTTATCCATCTAATGCTAGTTCTCATTTTGAAATAAAATGTATTCCACTCTCTATCTTCTCAAAACATATTCTGCAAGTCCCTCATGTAAGAATGTTATGGGAATGTCTGCCGAACAATGTCAGTGTCTGTCGAACAATGTCAGTATCTGCCGAACAATCTCAGCAATATTTCATCATATTGTATGTAGCAAATTCAACAATGGAATTAAAATGTTCAAAAGACACATTTTCAATTGAAGAGTTTCACATATTATATGTTGGTAACATTGAGATACAGTCAAAGTGGTGTAAACCATATCAGTCCTCTCAATATACGAGTTAATATACACGTGATCAAACCTCATATTTTTCTTTTATGTTTTACATCTAGCTTTGATAGCACTATTTCTCTTATAAAAGGAAGTCATTGTCAAGTTTTATATGAAATAAATTCATAATTGAAGGACTCTGGATGAATTATGGAAAACTGTGGATCTGCTTGACTTGCTATCTGTTCTATAATTTAGATATCTTTATTCAATGTAATGTTTATTTTCAATGACTACAGTAAAACTTGTCTAATCCGAACGTTGGTTTGACTGGAATGAAGCAGTTCACACCGAGGTGTTTTTGCGCTCGCATTATTCATTTTTATTTTTTAATTGTGAACACATTCTCATTGAATTATAGTAGCTGTATTGACCACGAAACTTTAAGAAAGGTTTGTGTCTCGAACTTCTACGCAATAATAATTTATAACCAAATGACCCCCCCCCCCCCCTATTGTATCCATATGGTGTCCGAACGATGTGCATCTCTCGGGGTGGGAACGTCTAATTTTGGAAAATGGCCGAGGCATGACATATTACGAGACATATCAAGAATTTTTCATTTATTTTTTACTAAAGTTGTCTAATATGTATAATGTCGCCAAAACTAGGTATAATTTCTAAGAGATATACGGCGACGCGACGTCGATTGGTCTTCGGTATGCCTCCTCGCTGAGGCCATCTAGATTCTGGAGCTGGCGGACGGTCCTGAGCCCGGAGGCTCATCTGGGCAGCCAGGTGTGAAAGAAATGATGATCCCCCAGGGATTATGATCCCCTTTCTTAATGGCCCTTACTGGCCCTGATTGCGTATAAGATAATGAGGGAAAGAGTTGTATTTAGGTCACCATAAATCAATGGAGAGTAGGACCATATATTTGATATAATTATTGCAAAATGACAAGGCAGTCATAAGTACTTAAAGACGAAGAGTTCTTAATGTTCTATACAAGTCACATTTGACTTTTTATTGGGGTAACATTAAATACATTAAATTGTATTTATTTACAAAAATAAAACAAATTATGTCACAACTTCCTTAGTATGCTAGCACGCTCACGTTGCATGACGATTTATTAAAGTATTCATATACAGTTGATACCGTCCAAAATCTTGATTCATAAGCTGTTTATCGTTTTCCGATTCCAACGAACTGGCCAAAAGCATTTATTTTTCTGATGTGCTCTGTAAAATACGATCATATATAAACTATAAAGGTATTATTATATTTCATTAGGTACATTATCACAAATGGTTTATAAAGTTAAGTAGAAACAGCCAAACACTCTTTTTGAAAAATATTTGAGTCTCCGTTTTTTTAGAGACGATGTAAAACTCGACCAATTTTCTGAAAATTGCTGAAAATATGGAAAACAATATCGTCAGTCATGAGAGTGAATTTTAAAATATAATACAGTCTTGTAAAAATTCTATTGGCCTATGCGTGTTCATGTTGAAACAACTTGGGTAATTGAGAAAAATTGACTTACTTTTTTTCACAGGGTCCCATGCTGAAATATAAAAAATATTTACGGTTTCTATTTGAGATATACCTTATAATTTTAGTATGCATTTGGGCTTGTAATTATAAAAACACACATCTTTGATTTACACAGGGTGAGTGACTCAAACCAGGAAGTAACAAAGCTGCAATCATTTTTCGGAACGGATGCAGCCATAATGTGCAGGGTGGCCCAAAAGGTGTCCACGTTTTTTGTGCTAGAACCTGCTCCATCAAAGTTGGAGACATATTTTAATGAGAGCGGTTTTAGAACACTTGAGGTGTGATGCAATTTGTGAAAGTATAATATTTGGTGGAGAAACATTACAGTTATTTTAGTAATGTCAAAAATATAAGTACTGTATGCACCAGATCGAAATCTTACAAAGTCTGTCAGAGACGCATTGTATGTGGGTGTAAATAATATTTTGATTATATTTCTAGACAAAAACATCATCAGAAGTATCACGAAAAAGTAAGGTAAAAGAAATATATATATATAATTCGGAATTCAAGTAATTGGTAAAGAGTGTTTGGGGGAAGTTTTCAGAGATCTTATTGCACTTGCCAAATTGAGCCCAAACCTTTGAAAACGTATTTTCAATGTCCATTGAAATAAAAACTATTTCTGGTTCTTTGCTTATCTTCCTCGTCATGAATGAAGTAGTAACTCATTCATTTTTTCCGAAATTTTTGAAAGCCATTTCCGCTAGAAACACGAACTACAGGATGGTAAGAGCCTTATACAATTGGAATCCATTGCACAAATGAATGCCTCAATTTGGATGAAAATAAATTGATCAGATATCCTTAGTATACATATTAACATGAACCGGCCTGAATTTCTTTTTTTATGTCAAACATTTTGCTACCAATGGTCTGTTTGCAAATGTAAATTCCGAAAGGGAATGTTGGTATTGAGGAACACGTCTCATACTAGATTAGTAGGCTAAATGATTTTTTGGACTTCGATAAAAGGAATTGCGCACACTGTGTCATTGCTTTCAGGTAATACACTCCCATCCATAAGTTTGGCAACCTTATCTCCTCCATTGAACTACGTGTTAAAGCCTCTTTACGTTTGATTTTTATTTACTTAACCGGCGATGAAATAACTTATTATATTGATGAAAACCTAACTTGACTTTATTTCCAATAGCCCCAAATTTTCTCAATTTTTTCCTCAATTACAATAGGTCGAAAATTGATGATGAATTTTTGAAAATCGTCATTCCCATGTAATCCAATGGGAAATGGAGGGTTCGATGCAAATCAGAAATCAGGATATCTTTTCATTAAAAGATTCGGCAAAAATATTTTTATATAGAAAATTGAATTGTCTAACTTTTTTGTACACTAAGTGTTTAGTTTATGAATACTAAAGTTACAGCGCTTCAAAGTCATTTTTGAAAATAATTTTTCGCCTCTTGTGTTATTTCAATGGGAGAGGTTTTTTGAAAAACAATTTTGACTTTAAAGCCCTATAACTTTGTTGAACCAATGGTTCAACATATCAGTTTTTTGTTAGATAAAGTTAGCAAATTCAATTGCCTGCCTAACTCGTATTATTTGCATGGATTCGGATGGATGCATATTCTGTCATTTGACTTGTGGCAAACCTACCATTTCCCATTGGTTAACATGGGAATGTCGATTTTCAAAAATTTATCAAATTTATCATCAATTTTCGACTTATTGTAATTGAGGAAAATAATTGAGAAAATTTGGAGGTATTGGAAATAGTCAAATTACGTTTCCATCAATAGTAGTTTTTTCATCGTAAACAAAAATTCAAAGGTAAAGAGTTTAACAAGTAGTTCAATGGGGGAGCTAAGGTTGCCAAACTTATGGAGGGGAGTGTACCTTTTTCAATGGATAGGGACAAGATAAGTTCGAGATTTTTTGTTGTGACAGTTCCGTAGATGTGAAGTTTTACATTGGTCTCGCCTAATTTGTGATCAAAACTGCTTAAATGAAGAATTCAAAACTTTTTGAATTTTTTTTTCAACAGGTTGTGTATATCGTATGACTGCATATTTATATAGTTAAAGAGCTTACTAATTTTAGGAGTGTCTGCGTTATTTTCATCCTCAAATTTGAACTCGAAAAATCCTTTTGGGGTTTTCTTCAGCTGAAAATCGTAAGCAAACATGTCATCGGCAGTTTAAATATAAAACATATTTAATTACATATAAAACTATGGAATTGATAATGATGGCATACAGTGATTCAAAAAACGTATTTCTTTATCAAATTTATATGTTCCTAATTTTAGGCAAATTAACCTTTAAAAACATTCTCAACTAATTCATGCGATTTGTAGTCTTTGTTTTATCTACACACATCTGCTTTTGAGACGCGTCCCTGGGACGAAAATATTCGACCTTGACCTTGATCGATATCAACATTGAAAATCCCAAATGTCGTAATTTTCTGACATTATAACTGACTGCTATAAATTCATAATCATAATCTCGTCCTGAGAGCTGTAATGTAACGAGTCAGACACTAGCCATGAAAGGGGATGTGCTCAATTCAATGCCCCGTGCAGGAATGAAACCCACCAACATAGCATCAAGATTTCACATCAAGATAAAGAAAGGTGTAAAGAACATCGATTAAATCATCTCAACGACGTGTTGTATTCGGTCGGAAACTAACGGTTGGAAATTGACTAGATGTGAGTAGGAATAAAAAGTCTAGGTCGGGAAGATTCCCCATAGACCCATGTTATAAGTGAAATATAACTTTATATTTTTTCTTTTACTGGACATATTTTGATTTGCATAACTATCAGATACATAAGGGGAATATGAAAACTGAACCACTAAAACTAATGAATATTCAAGTTTAACCCTTAAATGGTTTTTGGGGTCCGTTTGGACCCCAGAGCTCATTCTTTGCAATAATAATATCAGAAATAATCATTATATCAACATGAAATTCTATCTTATCCTCAATTAATTCAATTCCTTTCAGATAAAACAAACCAGATATAAATCGCATGATACTTTTTGTGCTACCTGAGGCCAAAGAACATCACTATCACTGAACCATATTCAATTAATACAGTGCTATATATAAATGCTACGAAATGTTACAAAATGCTAAAACACCCGACCCCTTATGATTAGGTTTACA